GCCCCCCCGCGACCCTAATGAGGATTAAGCATATGTATAGAAAATGGATGGATGGATATTATACTGCAGTCCCTGAGACACATTCACTGACCCCAGATGATGCATTTACTGACTGTAGGACTTCTAGCACCACCTGGCTGCAGCTCCGGTCAGTTAACTGACTCGCTTTAAAGAGGGTAAATACTTCATACTTATCTTATAATTCAGATTTTTAATGTGTCATTCCTCTGTAGATATCTGACTTCAACCTTAAAGGGAAGTCGGTACTTTTAATGGGTGCTGTACATTTCAGTCTGGTACTTCTGCTGTTGGAGCAGTTAGCTGATCGGTCTGGAGGAACTTCACTAGAACCTCACTGGAGCAACTGATGGGTTTCAAATCAAAGTCACAAGTTTAACTTTACTTGTCAAATGACAAACTCTGAAATCTGCAGTGTGTCTCATCCAGACTGAAACATGTCCACAGTCAGTACCGTGTTGCTGTGTGTCCTGTGAACATCCATGTGTTTCCTCATTCCTGTTCACGTGTCTGTGGCAGCCTGAAAAACCAGAAGCTTCACATTCTGACTGTGTGTGACTCCGAGGGAGGCTCACAGGTGTTCAGCTGTGAGCCATGTGCCTGCAGAGACTCAGGTCAGAGGAGGAGAGTGCTTTCAGGCGGCTTTCTGAAACTGCAGTTTCCAGAGGTCCCTGAAATGCCTCACAGCCACGAAGAGTTCTAATGTCACATTTACCTGAAACCAGGTGAGTTTGTCTACTCTGCTAACAGTTGTTCTGTGTTTCTACAGGGAATGTCGTCCTGGAGAACCTGAGGGTAAAGGAGAACGCTCTGGTGAGTTCTGAAGCCTCTCAGTTTAAATCTAATGACTCAGGTAAACATGATCCAGCAGCAGCAGGTGATGTTCAGGGTTCCCTGGCAGCTGACGGTGTGTGTTTGTGTTTCAGAGTGAGTTCGATGTTCCGTTCAGAGTGAAAGCCGGACAGATCGGTGAGTTCCCAAGTTCCTCTCAGTCTGTTCTTTTCAGTCTTTCTGAATTCTGTGAAGCACTTTGGTGTGGAACCTTGCAGAGCAGAGTGTGCTGCAGCTACCCCACTTCTCCATGTGAATGTGTGGAGAACATGTGGACAATGTGTCGAGAACGTCTGCTGTTATTTTACTTTCTGGTCTGGACTGCAGGTTCTGAAAACTGCAGGCTGTGTCTGAAATGTTTTAGTGGGTTCTCTTTGGTTTGTGTTTCCTTTTTTTTCAGTTTTTCTTTGTTTGACCAGCAGAACACAGCAGAGCTTCATGTTCACTGATGATTCAGATGTTCCTCAGATGCCTTTTTGTGTTCCAGGGAAGCTGACGTTGAAGATTCCCTGGAAGAACCTGTACAGCGATGCGGTCGTGGCCACACTGGAGGGTCTGTACCTGCTGGTGGTTCCTGGAGCCAGTAAGTGATGCTTTAGAACATCATGTCCCTGTAGAGTCCTGCTCGGTCGTTGTGTTCTCAGTTGTTGTGTGTGTGTTGCAGCTGGATCTCAGCTGAAAGCGTGTCCATATAACGGTAAGCGGCCGTCTTTGGAGGTGGTGGTCCAGGTTTAGGTGTGTCGGAGCTGCACGACGTCCACTAAAGTAGAAGTGCAATAGTGGCAGAGGACTGCACTGGAGGCAGATCAGGGGTTCGCAGGGATGCTGAGCTTCTCAGTAGTGCAGCCCTCTGTGGAGATCTGATGGACATGTTTCCATCACAGTGGCTGAGGAGCTTTGACCGTGGAGTAGCTGCAGTATTGACATGGACACTGGTGTGTTGGGTTGGCAGTGTAGTTGGCAAACCTAATGTAGGGCAGAAGGTCATCGTGCAGCTCCACCTAGTTTTTCAGAACTGGGTCGTCTCCTGTAGAATTGGCTTCTCTAATGTGGGATGTTTCTCTGCAGAACGTTTCTACACCTGATCCTGCAGCTTTGGAAGGGTTGCTGTGTCTGGCTGTGTTCTGTCCCCAGGCTTTGGTTCTTTATAATATCCAAACTAACAGGTCAGACTGTAGTGTGATGGAGGCGTGTCAGCAACCAATCAGAGAAAACCTGCTGCTCCCAGGTGTATCTGTGGGTTCA